GGCATACCTTGACATTGAGGAATTCTCCTGGTTGGAAATCCATGATCTTCCGCAGGCAGAAACATGTGGCAGAAAATAGAAGGAAACAAAGAATTTAGGAAAAGACTACTGAAGAAGATCCAAGTGAGACTATTGTATAACTTTAGTTCTATATGTATAACTTACTAAGTTTGCCTGTGGGTAAGAAATTACTATGGATACACTTTCAGCCAGCTTCAAGGAACCTCATTAACATTTAAGCAAAATTTCATTTGTTTGCAGAAGTTTTATATTACTCAATTATACCAACTCTAAGCAAGCTCATATTCCAGAGTTAAAAGTTATCCGGAGTGTAATAAATTAGGTACAAGTGATGTGAAACAATAGACACAGAAAAGTGGTAGAACTCACATGTATATTGAAATCATAAGCTAAAGACGTCGGCAGAAGCTTCCTTAGCTCAAAAATCTGTCAACAGAAAAGGAAATGGAAATATAAAGGATGTTATTGAATTCTACGATTAAAACCAAAACTCTATAACAATAAGGAAAAAGAAACCTCCTTTCTCTCTCCAAGGGACTTGAATTTTACGATTTTGAATAGAGAGGAGACAGATATAGAATAATATGGAGTAGTTCAAATAAGGGTATCTAGATGAGAAAAGAATACCTCGCCAGGAGTTTCAAGAAGGGGCTGCTTGTCTGTTGAACCAACAATTTGCTCAGTAACATGATTTTCCAAACCATAATACCTAAAACAAAAGACTTTGAGCATTTAAAATTAAAATAGACAAGAAACCTGGCAATCAAAGTTAGATGTTGAAAAAATAACGCATTTTATTACGATGCCACAAGTCAATTCGAGTGTACGGAATGACACAAACATGAGGTACCATGAAATAAAAGACTGACCTCCGTTCAAATACAACAAGAGTAGCAGCTGCATCAGCTTCCACTGTGTGATCCAAATTGAGAGGCAGATAAGCATACGAATCAACCTGCATTTGAAGTTAGAAGGCATCAGAAGTAGAATCTTTTCCTCAACAACTATGAGTTAAAGCATCTTTGGGCCAGCAAATTGATATCTGCTGACACGAATAGAAAAAAAGGAAGTAGAATCTTTCCTTATACACAAAATTGATGGTTGCCTGGCATTATACCAGCTATGTGTAGCAGCATCTTCACAAACTTCATTACAGTAATAAACAAAATGGCAGGCTATAAAAGTATAGCTGACGTACTGTTAGTTTATGGACATTCCCGGACACGTTGGTGAGAATCACACTTCCTTGGACCACAAATATGAACCTGATTTCGCAAGAGTTGGAAAAACTATATAAAGGAAGTACTAGAACTTTTTGTTCCATTGTAGTAGTAGAAAAATAGTAATTAGAAAAATATAGCACAAGAGGCTCTAATTGAAAAAAGCATGCGCCAAGTTTAAAGTATACTCTGCGTCAAGAAGTTTTGAAAAGAGAAACAATCACTAGAAATCTGCCCACCTTTCAACATCACTAGGAGGGAGCCCTGATTTTGAATTTTCTGCAAGAAGAAAAATTGCAAATAGTTACAACCAAACATTCATAGAGCTTTTACAGAATGCACCATGCAACTTTTTCTGGCTAGCATTTTTTGGCTTTGTAGCCGAGGATAGAGACTACTGTCTGTAGCATGAGGTGCCTATAGATTCTTCACACTTGTTTGTTTAAGTAGGATATAATAGACTTTAAAAGCCTTTGTTTTGGTCTTCATAGCACGTTCTCTACATATTTGTTTTTGTGTGGAATTGACGTTTCTCTTAAATTAAGAGAATACAAATAAGGATGCATCCACCACCCTCGCTGACTCTTTTGAACTTAATCTGAAACCAGACCCCCAGATAACATATAAACATGAAAGCTTAAATGGCAGATTAACATGAAAATATCCTTAATTATTCTGCAATATATGCCAGCATCATTGAAACACTCAAGAAAACACCTTGCATCTTTGCCAAGTACATGACGAAATGTGAGCCGATTGCTGGTGTAATTAGATAGGCACCCAAAGTATTCGACCTGCCAAATTTCTTAGATGAGCAATCAACCAAGATATATGAGTCTATCAGCCAGATAGTGCAAATGGTTGGTTGAGCATACCAATCAGGCAAAGGGCTGAAGACATGGCTTTCAGGAGTAATTAAAGCATGGTCCTGCTTATATACACTACGAGTAAATCCCGGCAAGTCTGCAAGCAAACAAAGAACAAATAAATAAATAACCAAATAAATAGCCCAAATTTAGTTTCATCTGCATCATCATTGTCTCAACAAAATTTACAAAAGCATCACTGTAAAACAAATGCTAAAAAATATCCTACGAAAAAGACATCTAATTATTTGCAGGATCGCTAAGAGAATAGAAAACGGTAAAAACTTACCCCGCACCTGGTGATTACACTAAACCAATGAATACAAGATACATGTATTCACATACGCTCTTATCTTTTTTTTTTTGAGATATACATACATACAGTCTTATCACTAAACCATAGTTAATCTATACACATTCGCACTTTGATTTATGCCTTAACCACGATAAATTAGTATAGTTTGGTGTAAATAACAGGTGTGGATAAGTATTTACCACGGCATTGCCATAATCAAACAAGTAATAATAACATTCAACAACTTTTTCACTGCACACCATTAGCCAATAACTTTAAGTTATACACTGACAATACAAAAGCCTTTCACATTAGTCTAATTTAATCTACATGTAATCAGACATGAACTTGATAAATTCACAACAGTCAAAAACGGAACTTGATGGATTCTTGTTTTCCCCTTCTTTCCAATAGTAGTATATATGGAGCCAAACAATGTACTGACCTTGGAGATGAGAAGGGGAGAGTGTGGGGTTAGTAACTTTCCAGTAAAGCGGCTGAGAGCTGGAATCAGAATCAGCATCAGAATCAAAAATTGATGGTGCAGAGCAAAACCCATCTTGGGTTAAGGCAGTTATCACAAAACCTGAAAGAACTTTAATATATAAAGAAACATAAGCAACACTACGCAAATTATTGCTGAAATCTGTTTAATTAAAAAGTAAGAGTAAAAAGGGGATTACTCGGAGTTGTTAAGAGAAGGAAGAAATAAAGAGAGGAAAATGGCGAAAAAGACTGCATTTTGAGATTGCCCAATGTACACATTACAGTCCAGATACTGAAGGGTTCTTATTGATTGTTTTGGTTTTTTGTCTTGTTGTTGCTTCAGTTGTGATAATGTTTATGGGGGGTTCACGCATTTGGCTGGTGGCTATTGGGAAATGAGTAAGTGTCAATTGCCATATAGAAAGCCTCAGATTTTTGGGAATATTCTGAATCTTACGGCTATTGATACTTTCACTTTCTTTTTTTCTTTTGGGCGGAATACATAATAAATTCTTAAAGATCAATATATTTCTTTTAGATACTCTGAACTAAAAAATATTTCAATTGAACACATGAACACATAATAAAATATTCGTATTAGATACTCGTGAGGAAATTATGAGAAAATGGCTCTTGGTTTTCTTTTTTCAACGAAACTAAGTGAGAGTTTGCGTTTAGTTATTGAGTTCTTTTTTAACATATCTGTTATGTTTTTATTTATTATGTAAAAACTTTTTTCTTGATGTGTATAATTAAAAGTTGTGATATGTTTTAAGTGGTTAATTTATTCACGTAATGGGGCTTGAGAATACACACAGAAGATTTTTCTAAAGTTTGACGTAGAAGTGTCTAATAGAAATATTTTATTATGTGTTTATACGTTCAATTACAACATACCTTAGTTCAAAGTGTTTAAATCTAACATACTAAGTAGGTTTAAGGGATTGTCGAAGTATTTTACCTTTTTTTTCATTTTCAAATTGTGTCTTAATAAATTGAAAAAGTTCAAATATTTCATGAACAATTGAAAATATTCAATATACCACTACATTACTTAGACAATTTTTTTCTTTTAGCAAGAGGTGCATATTTGGGACAAAAAATAAGGATAGGGTTCTCATGAGCCAAAAAATAAAAATAAAGGAAAGACATATGTAAGTAGGGATTGCAATGGAGCGGTGCGGGGCGGGTTTGATCTTATGCGGGGCGATGTGGGTTTGATCTTATGCAAGGCTGTTGCGTTTGCGGGGCGGATTAAAACAGTTTTTTGAAAATCTAATGCGGTGCGGGCGGTTGCAGGGTTTGGCGGGTTTCCTCGCGTGTTTTCTGCAGACTGCACTTTGTACAAAGCAACCATTCCTCTTCTATTTTTCTGCTTTTACTTTTCAGCTACAACTTGCAAGCATTTTCTTGTTTAATTTTACTTCTTTATTTTTAAACCTTTTTAAGTAAAAATTTCTTTTATCATTAACTCATGATTACATTTTTTTTTTCCAGTCATAATGTGCTGTGTAATAGTCAAAGTTATACTAGTGATCTATATCATTGATTTATCTTATTCAAAAGAAATAAAAATATCAAACGACTTTAACTTGTAAAGTATCTTGATACCAAGAAAATCGAAGATCTCTATAATAAGATTTTTTTTAAAAAAGTAGTATGTATATCCTAGTTGTAAAATATGCGGCATTTAGAAATATGAGTTAGCACTATATGACACAAATTTATAATTTGTTAGCACAAGTTTTTGTTTGGTTTCCTTCATAAAAAAAATATTCCCACTGAAAGTAGAAAAAATGAGAAGAATAACCATTTGACTATTGTATCATAAGACAAAAGAAAAATCACCTTCAAATAAATAAAGTGTTGAGTCATATTATATGAGGTATTTAACAATTTGGAGAAAAAAAATTAATTCATGAAAGGAAAATTTGTTGCTTTGCGGGGCGGGGCGAGTTTATGCGGGTTGGTGCGGGGCAGGTGAAAACATAAAATTTTATTATGCGGGGCGGGGCAGGTTGAAGTCTTTGCGGGTTAAGACTAAACCCGCCGCCGCCCGCCCCATTGCCATCTTTGTAAGATTAATTGCAAAGTTAATGATATATTTGGACCTTTTCTTAGGTTCTAAGATACAAATACAAATACGGAAAAGTGGGAGGACATATTTGCAAACTCCAACGATCTCCATAAATCCCAGCTCGCTGGCGCTCTTTCTGGGTTTAGGGTTTACTGGCATAAAAGGCTAGCTGTTAAAACTCCATTATTACTTATTTACTCTGCGGAATTGGACTCGCCGATGGCTACGCCACTGGACCCAATCGTCGATTCACTTCTGAGCAGTTTCCGGCAAGTACCTCCGGCAGCAATTCCGGCGATGCTGGACTGTATATTGGCTTCAACAAACGCTGCTCCTTCATCAATTTTCTCTACTCTCCTCAACGAGTTTCCCACTTTCAGCAAGGTATTATTCATAGACCTAGAATGTACTAAAGAAGCTAAAAGCACTGCTAACTTAAGCCATAAGTAATAAGTATTGCTAAAACGAGCTAAATAACTTGGTACTTAATGGCCATCCACGTGAGCTACTCATTTTGCAACTGGTTTCGAAGGCTATAGCAAATTACCTATTGTATCACAGTCTATTTTCTGGGGTGGACAAAGTTACCTAGTGCCTGTGCTGGTCGGGGTANTTACTTCTTTGGCAAGGTTTATCTTTTGGAGCTTCTGTACTTAATTGTATACAGTTGCATCCCTAGAGGCAGATGCAGGATTTTAAATTAGTGGTTGCTGAACCCAATTCACCTTTGTGACATTGTGTATGAACTCGTGTGGGTTTATATTTTCTGAAAAATAATAACTATATATACAGAGGTCGAGCTGATACTTGCATCCGCCCAATGCATCCTCCTTGGGTTGTTTCTTTTAAGAAATTGTTTTTTAATAAGTTTTTCGTTTAGTAAATTGTTTGCCTATCATAAAGGAAAAAAGAAAAATACGGAAAAATGAAAAGAAGGGATATGTGAATCTGATTTCAGTGACGCAGTAAGATTCACATATCTATATGCTTCATTATAGACATTTAAATCTTTCTTCTTCACTTTTCCCAGGAAAATCCTGTATCATTGTTAAAAATATGCTTTATTATTGGCTTTGATCATTGAGACTTGAAGTTTTGATATCATTTTCTTGTTATTTTTCTATGTACTATATTCTCATTGATGTGGGAGTTGGAGTAAAAAATATTTTGATTGTTAAATATTCTTTGGTGTTTGGTGCTTTTGGTAGGGTATAGTAGATGGGAGCAAACATTTGGATTTGGAGCAGCGTAACTGTGTTGTTTCGTTTGTTAGTGCAATTTGTCACCTTCTGAAGAAGTCAGGTCAGATACATTCATGGATTTATTGGGAATGAGACTTAGTCAGGACTGTGCTTTAACAGCCGAAGTATGTACAGCTAAAAATCTTTTATTCCTGGATTCTTGTTTTTGCAAGTGTGTTATATTAGGCTGTCAACACTGCTTGGTTTGCATCAAGAGTCTCAATTAAGACTGAGACAGACTGATATCCTTCTAGATTTCCCCTCGTATAGTTGATTGTCACTGAGGCATTCTTTTGTGTTCTCAAAATTAGAAAACATCCTTTGCTTTGAGCATAGAAAAGGATACACGTAGTCATGGTTCAAAATATTTTAGTGGCTTGTGAGTTTTAAGTCCTAGTTATTACCATTAAAATTTTTAACTTTTGAAATAAAATCTTCCAATAAAAACCAAACACTACTTAGTAGATCCTCATTTCTAACAAGCCAAATTCTTAAACTTTCTCAATGGTCCCACTCATCTTCAATAGTCGTTAATGATTCAGATATTGTATCAACCACCAGAACATGCCATACCCACAAAGGCAAGACCTATTCAAATGAATCATGATTTAATGGAAACGTGCAAAAAAGAAATTAATGATCCCCTTAAAAAGAAGATCATAAGACCTTCAAAATCACCTTGGAGTTGTGCAGCCTTTTATGTTAACAAAAGTGCAGAAAAGGAAAGAGGAGCCCCCAGACTTGTCATTAATTATAAACCATTAAACAATGTCTTACAATGGATTAGGTACCCGATACCTAATAAAAGAGATTTATTAAAAAGAACTTATAAGGCTAATATCTACAACAAATTTGATATGAAGTCAGGATTTTGGCAAATACAAGTTAGCGAAAAAGATAAATATAAAACTGCTTTCAACGTCCCCTTTGGACAATATGAATGGAATGTTATGCCTTTCGGGTTAAAAAATGTCCCATCAGAATTTTAAAATATAATGAACAATATATTTAACCCATACAGTAATATGTCAATAGTTTATATTGATGATGTTTTAATATTCTCAGAAGAGATAGATGCTCACTTTAAACATCTTAATACTTTCTTTAAGATTGTAAAACATAATGGTTTAGTAGTAAGTGCTAAAAAGATTAAGTTGTTCCAAACAACTATTAGATTCTTAGGTCATGACCTATACCAAGGCACTTATAAACCAATCTGTAGAGCCATTGAGTTTTCATCCAAATTTCCTGATGATATCACAGATAAACCGAATTACAAAGATTCTCAGGAAGTCTTAATTATGTAGCAGACTTCATTCCTGATATTAGGAAAATTTGTGAACCATTATACAAGCGTCTCAGAAAGAATCCAATTCCATGGAGTGAAGAACAAACTGATACTGTCAAAAGAGTCAAGTCCATTGTTCAAAAACTTCCGTGCCTAGGTATTCCTAATCCTGAGGCATTTATGATAGTCGAGACCGACGCTTCTGATGAAGGGTACAGTGGTATTCTTAAACAACGAGTCTCTTCAAAGTCTCCGGAACAATTAGTTCGTTTCACTTCCAGAATTTGGAATTCAGCTCAGAAAAATTATAGTACAGTCAAAAAAGAAATTTTGTCTATAGTACTATGTATTACAAAGTTTCAAGATGATTTAATAAATAAAGAATTCTTGTTAAGAGTTGATTGTAAATCAGCTAAAGAGATTTTACAAAAAGATGTTAAAAAGCTCATTTCAAAACAGATTTTTGCCAGATAGCAAGCATTATTATCTAGTTTTGATTTCGAAATTGATTTTATTACNTGATTTTCAAATTGATTTTATTAAAGGTGAAGAAAACTCTTTACCCGATTTTCTAACCAGAGAATTCCTACAGGGAAAGAATGAGACCAAATCAGACGGGTCCCTTTAGGGCTTCACCTAATAGGAATCAAGGAAATAGATATTCTGTACTCGCAGGTAAACTTCTAACCAGTTCAGACTGTGAAATGAAGACCCCAAAGTCCTTTGCACAAGCAGTAAACCCAAACACTCCCTCCAACGGGGAAGGTAAAAACCCATCTCTCAAGAAAAGGAAAGTTTTGAACTTATACCCAAATCGCCGATCAGGATTTTGGCATTAGACAAAGATTACGAAAATCTCGAAATAGGAGATTTGGTTAAGCCTTGTTATACCAACAGAAATTACGTAGCCAGTAACCCTCTCAAGACAAGGAGGTATTACGAATTTATCCTGATAGATACATGATCAATCTCTATAGAACATAAGTAAAAGGATAATGCGGACCCTAACAGTATTAAATACTCAAGGTTCACCATTAACAAGATTATTAGCCCATTTGAATGGGGTATGGATCATTTGCACACCCCAATTATGCTATCTAAGCAACATAGGCCTCAAACCTATAATTTCTTTGATTACACAGAAGCATGGTATAATATTTTATACCTACGCCCAAATACAAACACCTGGTTCGTGAAATACAACGAACAAATGATGAAATCAGTCATATCAAGATGGTTTTATGACTTATGGAAGAAATTTGGAGGAACCGAGCAAACAATGTCCAGTAGCTTCCAAGTACACTATGAAAGATTCCAAAAGGAGCATGAAATTTCCACGCTACCTGATCACATTAAGTTATGCAAATATTACTTTGCAAAACGGATTTCTTACATAATCAGCTGGTCCTTCGCCATTGAAGAAATTGACCGAATTAAATATTTGGTTAAAATTCCAAAAATCAAAGGATGGGTGCCTGAAGTAAAAGCAACCCAGTCTAAGTCCAAAGCAGCAAGCAAAGCGGGATCATCTAGTTCCCAAATAGAATTAAAAAGGAGACTCCTAGAAGTCTTGGAAAATATTGATACAGTAGGTCCAACGGAAGTACAAGCTATGCTAGAAGCAGCATCAACATCCTCCTCAGCAGAGAACAATGGAGACATGGAAGACCAGCAAGGTATTGCACAAGTCTACCGTGCCTATGCAGAAGAAGAATAGCATCTGAAGACAGATGACTCATCCGACAAAAACAAAATAGCTTTTTCAAAAGGCAAGCTGACTCTTCAAAAAAGAAAGAGTCACTTGNAGAAAGAATCAAGTTATTAGCTGCACATGATATTCAACAATATAGAAAGAAATTTAATTTTCTTTCACATTGGATTAGTACAAGTGGCGGTCAAACCTTTATACTGATTAGGTTTAGACACCCCTCTCTGTCTCTTACTAAGAGATGACAGACTTCTGAACTTTGATGATTCATTATTAGGAGTTCTGCAAAGTAACCTAGCCTAAGGCCCGGTATACTTTAATTGTTATCCAAACTTTTCAGTTGACATAAATGACCAAAATGTTTTGGATACCTTAACTCTTAATATTAAAACAAAAAATATGAATAGCAAAGTCAATACAAGAGAAATAGCCATAATATACAGAGTTTATTACAGACTAATGAAAACAACCTTAGCTCCAAAAGCTAAAATCGAAAGTAATAAAGGAGTTACTATGCTCATGGAAGCAAACCAAGAACATAGTAACACTTTCGTCCCTAGAATGATTCAATGGAACGAAATTTTGTCAAAAGATGAATGGAGTTTTGACGCCATCACCCAACCAAAATATGAACCTGAGAGTTCATTCATTGAACAAGTCATTTAATATCCATCTGGAGTCATTGACCTAAAGTTTTTAAGGTCAGGCTCAGCTAGTGAAGCTTCTTCCAGCAGAAGAATGTCCTTTACTAGACCTTCTTCTTCTTCCAAATCCCCGGAGGATAATAGAAGTAACAAAAGTGATGAAGAGTTAATTGAAGAAATTAACACAAAACTTAAGGGAGTAGATTTTAACAAAACTGTTCCCCAAGTTATTTATCAAAATAGGCCCTTTGATACTACTCCAAGAAGCCCAGCTGCAGAAACAGTTGATCAATTAACTGTAATCCGAGCAGATGACTTTGAAATTGATTGGAAAAGTCTAGATGCTCAGTGGTTACACCCCAACAACATTATTAATAGAAAATGGTACGTAGATACGTATCAAAAATAAAGGTATAATAGAAGTCACCACTCCACCCTTAGAAGAAATTCTAATACCAATTCAAAGTGAAGTAATCACGGCTTCCCCTTTTAAAAGAGAAAGCGTTCATACTGAAAGTGGACCAACTAACAAAGATATTAATAAAATTATTGTACAAAATAATTACACTAATAACCTATTACATGTGGTATCAAACCAGCTAAAGGATACCAATAAATTAGGAGTTCCTACGAAATCCATAATAAACCCTAAAATTGAAACACATCCAATAATAAAACTTCCTGAATATTCTAAAGAGAAGTTTCCTGAATTAAATGAAAAATTCAACTTTACAGATAAGCTTCTGAAAAAAATCGAAGATCAGCTTAAAACAAAATTAACAATCTCTAAAGGAGATTCTTCTTCCAGCCAAGCCAGCACTAGTAAAAATGATAAAATTATAGAACTTCATAATTTACAAAATAAATTAAGTTCTATTGAAAAAGAATATACTGCTCTAAAAGCAAAGGAAGAGTTCCCTGAAAAAAGGAAAAAACTAGAAAATTTAATAAAAACCTCTAAAGAAATTTCCGAAGCTATTAATAAAATAAAAACGATTTCCACAATTAAAATTATTGACTCTGAAATCAATAGACTTACTAATGACCCAAGACATTCTAATAAAAAGAATTACTACAATAGAGCATCATTCCCAGATGTCCAATTCGAAGAAGATATCTATTTAACTAGCGCCAGTCATAACGAAACTGGAATCACCGAATGGAATATAGATGGGTTAGCAGAAAGCCAAATCTACAAAAAACTTCATGAAATTGGAATTGCAGTTACCACTTATAAAATGAAAAATGCATCAGACAAATATGCTGCAACATTAATAATTTCAGGATTCACTGGAATGTTAAAAAATTGGTCAGATAATTATCTTTCCGAAGAAAATAAAAATCAAATCTTAGGAGCCACCACAGTCGCAACTGTAGTAAAAACCGAATCAGGAATGCAAGTTGCAGAACAAGAAGCTAGA